AAAAAAAAAAAAAAAAAAAAAAAAAAAAAAAAAAAAAAAAAAAGCCAATTGCACTTTCTTCCAAAATTCCTCATCTTGCTACTTTCCAAAAATTCACATTTGTGTAAATCGCTGAAAAATATGTAATTCCAAAATTCTTTTCTTTCAAATTTTCACGAATCTTTTTTTCTTTTTACTCACTGATGCCTCACCTGTCAGTTGGGTATCTGATAACCCACTGACAATGTCTCACTGACACACGATCGACACACATAAAAAAAAAAACATTATTTTTATTTTTTATTTTTTCTGTTGATTACTGGTCAATATTTGGGTTGGACATTGCAATTTGGTTTGTTGCCTACCTGCATTGTGTCCCCCCTCCCCTTCCTCCTCTTGTTTTCTCTCGGCTCGGGAAGTGCCATATCAGCATCTGCCAGCAAGTGCCATGTCAACATCTGCCATGTCAGCAAGTGCCATGTCAGCAAGTGCCACGTCAACAAGCGCCACATCAGCAAGTGTCACGTCAGCTGGCTGATTGCTGAGGTGCAGTCCACGAATCGCCGCTCAACAGCAGGGTACCTTTCCCGCACGAGCCGAACCCCAACCAGCCCCCCAGTATCGCAGCCGACACCGGCCACAACCACGGCCACGTCACCCGACGCCTGAGGTGCCGTAGTCTCACAGGTTGGCAGTTCTGGTGGGGAACGGGAATTTCACAGTCCCGTACTCCAAGGCATGACAGGCCAATAGCCCGGCGAGTCCATCTCGGACTTTGCGACCCGCGTCCTCGCCTTCAGCAAGCTGGTGGCCGAAAAGGAATAGCGGCAGGCCATGGATGCAGCCGAATTGCTACAGCGACAGGAGGAAGCCGCTGAAGCTCAATGTCGGCAGCAGGAGGCAGCAACAAATGCAGTTCCACGCCTCCGACAAAAAGCTTCGGCAAGCCTGCAGCAGCAAGAGCTGCAGTACGCAGCCACACTGCGCGATTGGCATTTTACCCCGACGGACGGTTACAGTCAACCATTGGCAGAAGAGAAGACAAAGGATGACATCTCCAAGCTCATCGCGAGACTCCTGCTGACCTGCAACTGGCAGCAGCACGAGTTACAGCGGCTCGATTGCGTCATTAACGAAACTCGTGACATGCAGCGTCATACGAATTGCAGTTTCAATGCGGGTCTCGACCACTTGGAACACAATGCCGCTTCAGAAAACGCCCAACCTATTAGCAGCTAGCCATCAACGCGAGAGCTGGAGGAACGAATTGACCACGTGGTCACCACAATCGGTGACCTAGGCACGTTGTCGACCGGTAGAAGGGATCTGCTGGGACGCAAAACTAGCTCTGAAATTGCCCCGTGTCTGTCACCCTAGGGAGAGCTGTTTCGTGGCTTCTGCAACCTGCAAACAACCTAGTGAGTATCCAAACCTATACTTCCAGATACGCACTGACCACTAGGACACCGGTATAAACAGAAAAAATAGTAAAAACATCCAATTTATTGTGATAAATTTTCACCATGTCCAGGTCTGTAAGTGAGTGGGCGGAATGGGTATTTCCCAAGCCCCTGTCTGAGTCCTGACAGCCCTGCCCGTAGCCTCAGGCACCACCCCCAATTCTCTTAGTGCTGCCCGCGGCCGATCCGTTGGCGCAGATGATGATGTGGTCTGAGCTCTCAAGTGGGCCGCTGAGCCTGAGCCTCACAGTCCGAGTCTGCAGATAACTCGCCGGCCCTAAATTCTGCAGTCCATGTCTGGACACAAACAGATGAATCTGTAGTCTGAACTGAAATGTATGTATGGCCTGCACCCACAACCTGCCAACGGCTGGATCTGAGTCCGATAATAACTCATTGAGTCTGGACGTTGCAGTCTGTGTCCCGCTGTGTCTGTATGTAACTCACAGGTACTAATATCCCCTGTATCTGTAGGTCCTCTGTTCCGCTGAGTAGCTGTTCGTCGAACCTCTGCTGGCTCTGCCGATTCCATATCTTTCTGTCTCAAGGCCCGTTGAGATCTATAGACCTGAGTTTTTGAGTCTATATTTCCCCACTAGATCCAACTATGCTTCCTCCCCTGTTGAGTCTAAGACTGTTTAGCAGAGTCCTCAAGCCTCCTCCGAGTTTTGCAAATGGCTTAGTTCGGCAGTCTTGAGTCTAGTGTTGTTGTACAGTCTCAAAACTGAGCCAGCCTATTATAGTTCACCGTTCTTAGCTCAGCAAACCCGCCGAGCAGGATCAATTGAGTATGAGATATTCACTGGATTTAGTAAAGTCCAAGCATAATCCTCGAAGGCGCAGTTCATTAGGCGGAGGTTGTGCGAGACAGTCTGAGCCATTGCCACCCCTCAGGCCGGCAGACAAACGCGAAGCTGCGGAGAAGGCCAGCAGTATCACGCAGAGTTGGTAGCGGCGTCGCACACAGCCCGCTGTGTCGCTCACCACAGGGAAGTGGTTCTCACCCGAGACCCACCTCTGCGGCGAAGATAATGTTCCATGTACCCGGCCTGGTGGCGGAGTGACACAGTCCCACACATGTGGTAGCTGCTGATAAACAGGTCATGAGCCCAAACCCTGCCGAGGACAACATCTCACAGTTGTGGCTCATAGCCTTCATGCAGCGATGACAGTGTCGCACTGTTTGCAATGTCGCACACTACAGACAAGCTCCTGCCCGAGATCCTCCTTGGCGAAAGACCATGGGCCTTCCTTCAGTATGCAGCCTCTCTCTCTCTCTCTCTCTCTCTCTCTCTCTCTCTCTCTCTCTCTCTCTCTCTCTCTGTGTGTCTCTCTGTCTCTCTCTCTCTCTCTGGCGCGCGCGCGCGCGCACATGCGCTCTTGCGCTCTCTCGTGCGCAGATCCCCCCCCCCCCCGTACCTCGCGCGCGGCCTTCCCACGCGCATCTTGCTGGTTGAGAGATCGAGCTCGTACACCGTGTTGTTCAGCCCGCACAGGCAGTTTGAGCTCGCACCGCTAATCCCGCACTTTCTCGTTTAAATGGTGACTGCTTTCCTTCGTAAGGCTTGCAAGCAGTTCGTTTCCCATGGGCTGGCCCCCTGATTGGTGCTTGAGAACCGTGCGTGGGCTGGGTTCTCCCAGCTTTCCTCTCCGGGCAATTTAGCGTGTGCGGATCACTCCCGCTGATTGGATCCCTGCGGTGGCTGGATCTCACCCGGGCGTGTGTCCAACCCAAACGTGGTCGTTCCTTTGCGTGAATCTAACCTGGAACCTGTCCTGGTTCACATTCAAAGATTAGATCGTGCGCTCCTCAACCTCGAGTGGAGCTACCCCTGATTAGCCCCTGGCAGCAGCAGGTATCCGTGCGTATATGTGACCAGGGTAGCGTCCTGGTTTGTGCGCTATCACGCTCGGATTACCTGTGTGCTATCTCCACGCGCCTCATCGTTGCTTGCCCTCCCACGCGCCATCACTCGAGTGGTGATCCCTCTGGGGGTTGTCCTCTTCAGTGTGCCTGAATGTAATCGCATCACGTCTCGATTCCTCCTGCGTTGTGATTATTCTCCCTTGTATATAGTCCGATTTCGTGTAAGGAGCCAAGCGCTCCCTTGCACGCGGCGAGACCAGGCTCCTCTTGTCACGTGGCCCAATCGGTCCTTCGGCTGGTAGGTGGCCCTCGATTAGCTCTTTCCCGTAAGCAAGTAGGCCTCTCTCCGTGATCAATCTGGGCATCTGTTCGTACGCTGCCCCCAAGCTTAACTAGGTGAGCTGCTGAGAACCCCCTCTCGTGAGGCGTACATGGTGAAGTCCTTGATTGGCTCCTTCGTGCGTGCTGAGATCGTGCCTCCTCGATGCACGATGTACCTGTTCACCCTTCGTACGTCTGCCGCTCCCCCCTCTGGGGACTGGTACACCTAGGGACCAACCCACCCCCATGCGTCCGTCCCTCCGGTACTCTCCGCAACGATTCCCCAACAACAGCCCAGTTCAGCTTAAGTACATTGCTCGGCCCAACAGCAGCACCCTTCAGTCCACCTGTACCACCAAGAGCCGAGCGTGGTGACAAGAAGATTGCAGCGCCCGAGTACCGGGCCCAGTCCCGAGCCAATGCCCGAGCCTACTTCGTCCTCCGAACAGGCATGAGTGCCATGAAACAGGCCATGCTGTCGGGAACTTGCAGCATTCTGGTACCGAACCCGACAGCAGCATTCTGGTACCGAACCTACTCCGAGCCCAGTAGCGTTCGGATTAATCCACTAATTAAAGGTCCCTCGGCCACCCGATCCGTCGCTGCTTTCACTCACATTCATCCTCTTTTCATCTGATAATCCAAGACTCCCTTCAAGGCCCCAGGCTCGGCTAATTTGAAAGCTTTGTCAACTGTCACATCGCAATATATACCGAGGTTTCTCGTGTTATTGTGGCCTTTCTGCCCTTCTTTGGTCGAGTCTCTAGCGTAACTCTTCGGCCCACTTCGGTCTGCCGCTGCGCACCCACGGCCAAGCATAGCCCTTTTTTCCAATCGAACGCGAGTGAGTCCCAATTACTCCCTTTCCTGTTTCCCTTCAATTCTCCGATAGCCTTTCACTGAGCCGTTGAGCACCCTTGTTTAGTTACGGGTCTCACCTTCGTCATGCCGAAGTCCGGACATTCTGTGATTTCGTCTTCGAATAATAAATCTCACTTTCCTGGTTCCAATCGTGAACTTCAATCTGGTCGAACACACTCAGAAATTGAATTTTAGTCCTTAGTTCTCGTTTTTTCGGAGAAGGGCAGCGTAAGGTTTGAGCCGCCCGACAACGTTCACGAGACCAGTGACAATCAGCGAACAACTCACAATGGTGAAGACCGACGTCTGCGCTATGCAGCAACAACCCGCTGGCAATGATGCCCTTCGGCCGTACAAGATGCCAAACTTCAACTTTGAGAAGTCTGACGACTACACCAAGCAGGACCCACTTGCATGGTGGCAAGGCTTTACCACAAAATTAAGTTTCTGCGACGTCCCGAACACCTGAAGCTCGTGGGATTCTACCTCAACTTCACAGGTGCGTGCCAAGTCTGGCTCAACCACCTCATGGTCAAGGAAGGAGTCAACATGGACCGCTTGCACACCAAGTTGGATTGGGACACAGTGGAAGCTCTGTGGAAAGCACGGTTCATCGTACAGGATGAGGTCGTCAAGGGCATCAACAAAGTCTTCCAACTGTACCAAGGGACCCAGCCGACACGTGAATGGTTGATCGAATGGCAAAAGATCGTTGCCGTTCCAAATCTGAACTTACCATTCACATACATTCAACGCAAGTTTTTCAAATGATGGGTCAACTCCTTGACCCAAGCACTTGGACGAGTGGAGGACTACGAAGATTTTGACACAATCGTAACTCAAGCTCGCTCCCTCATCTAAACCAATCGGCGTGCCGCCAACGAACGGCAAGGCCAACCGGATTTTGTGGAGAAAGGTAAAGGGTAATGGACACAGCCCGTCGCCGCAATCCAATCAAGTGGACAAAACGAGGACCCGACGTGACTCTGACGTCAAGTGCAGGAGACCTAGTCAACGCCCTTTTGCCACGACGAAACAACACACGAATGAAGAAGGCAAAACCAACGTCAATGTCGAAAGTCTGACAGTCAAACCAGCCAGGGACGAAGTTCAGTCTTACGAAGGAGCAATACAAGCTTCGCCAAAAGTACAAATGCTGCTTTTTGTGTAATAGCACCAAGCGCACACCGACGCAATGCCCCGACAAGGACAAAGATAACGTTCACTCATGACAAAGCTCCATGGGAAGTGACGCGACTCCACTTCCCATTCCGCCGGACACCGTTGCCTTGCTAGCGGCCTCCTACACGCGTGGGGAGCACGTGGATGTCGCACGTCTTCGAGAAGACTTCAAAGACTATTCTGCCCAACTGGTCCCGTCGTTGGACCTACCCCTTCACGCGCATCACTGTCGGCAAGCGAACCGACTTCATCGCCGACACTTCTATCATCTGGGGATTTATCAGTGTGGTCAAAGACTTGAGGACCACGACACGTTGATGACGAAAGACTTTCAATGGTTGCTTCTTCCCCCATCCCGTTCATTGCCGAAACCGCATTGCAACACCCTAATGGCGGAGCTACGCAAGTATCTGCACGCTGCAGTACCAACTCTGTTGATGGATGACGGAGTAACGGCTGTTGACCTTCGCGAGTATATTGCGAAGATCGACAGTGAGTACACCACGCAACGGTATGACAACAACGACGCGTCGTTACTCTACATCCGCATTCAGATCGGAACGGCGACCTGCAGCGCCTTGATCGATTGTGGAGCTACTCGCAACTACATCAACGAAAACTTTATGGCGCGGGCCAGTCTCGGCCCGCGCATTTAAAGGAAGTCGCAGTCCACGCAAGTCACGTTGGCTGACGGTCACACACACAAGTCTATTGACCGGTGCATTGCCACGACACCCGTGTACTTCGCCCGCACGCATGCGAGGCTGTCTCCTTTGACATCTTGGACACCAAGTTCGACATCATCTTTGGCATGTCGTGGCTACGAAGCGAGAATCACCCGGTGAACTTCTATCGCCGCACCGTTCACGTTCGTGATCGAAACGGGATACTCGTTCCATGCACGATTCCTCTGCCTCACCCTTCGATTGTTTGTCACGTGGTCTCTACGGCAAGCATTTGCAACTCCATCGCACAACACGACGTTGAAGAAATGGGGATTTGCTTCTTGCATGCCCTCCCTCCTCCCAACGAGCTAGCGACAGAAGTGCCACCGGACCCACGCATCGTAACGCTTCTTGACTCCTTCGGCTATGTTTTCGAAGCTCCCACCGGAATTGTACCGGATCGGCCAATTTGTCACGAAATCATTCTCGAAGACGGGGCCTTACCTACGCGCGGATGTATTTACCGCATGAGCGGGGAGGAACTCGAAGTGCTTTGAATGCAACTCGGCGACCTCATTGCCAAGGGTTGGATTCGTCCTAGCTGCTCGCCCTACGGTGCACCCGTTCCCTTCGTCCGGAAGAAGAACAAGGAATTGCGGCTTAACCTATGCATTGACTACCGTAAACTTAAGGTGTAAACCGTTAGGAATGCTAGCCCGCTCCCACAAATCGACGACCTTCTCGAACGTTTGGGTGGCGCCATCTACTTCTCCAAGTTGGACCTCAAGTCGAGATACCACCAAATTGAGATCCATCCACGGGATCGGTACAAGACCGCGTTCAAAACGCGATACAGATACTTTGAGTGGGTCGTAATGCCATTCGGCCTCATGAATGCCCCGACCACCTTCCAAGCGGCAATGATGACGGAATTCTACGATATGTTGGACCGGTTCGTGCTCATCTACCTCGACAACATCTTGGTGTATAGTCGGACATTGGATGAACACCTTGTGCATCTACGCGCTGTTCTGGACATGTTACGTACCAAGTGCGAATTCGTGCAATAAGCGCTCGAGTACTTGGGCCACTTTGTGACGCTGCAAGGCATCCGTCTGCTCGAGGACAAGATCAAGGCTATTCAAGATTGGTCGGAACCGACCAACACTACAAAAGTGTGTTCTTTCATGGGATTGGCTGGGTACTACCAACGCTTCATCCGCGGATATGCACGGATCGCGTCACCTTTGTCGAAATTGCAGTCGCCAAAAGTGCCTTTCCACTTCATCGACGAAGTTTGGAGTTCACTCCAGAATTTGAAGACGACGTTGCTTCTTGCTCCCGTCTTGAGTGTCTACGATCCCACGTTGCCAACGAGAGTGACCACGGACACTTCCGGCTACGGCATTGGTGCAGTTTTGGAACAACACGACGGAGAAGATTGGCATTCGGTGGAGTTGTTCAGCCAAAAGGTGCCACCCATCAACCCGATTGATGACACGCGGATGGAGTTGCTCACATTCGTCACGGTACTAAAGCGTTGGCGACACAACGGGCATTTCGTCAAAACGGACATATTATATTTTTTGAACGGAATCAAAATTGAGTCCTTGGGCCGAAATCCGGTCCAAAGTTTTGGCTCCAGGGGGTCCGGCGTTTCTAGAACGCCGGACCCCCTAGATGTATCTGGTCTCAGCTTCTACGAGTACAGTGCCCAGGGGAGAGGTCCCACTAGCAAAGACGATTGGATTGAGCTCCTGAATCTGGAGGTGTTTTTCACAGAGATGCAGAAAAGCAGTTCAGTCTCGATTTTCTGCACCTTTCCACCAACACGATTCGGGCATTCAATCCAATCCTCTGTGCTAGTGGGACCTCACCCGGGGGC